CCAGGAAATCCACTGGCAAGGGCACTTAGGAGTCAACCGGAGAAGCTCCAGTATCGGTTAGGTCAGGGAGGTCCTGTGTGTATTGTGTGTAATCGCTATTATTTGGACCGTGGGATAATTTGGGGAGGATGGAGTGCCAGGAAATCCACTGGCAAGGGCACTTAGGAGTCAACCGGAGAAGCTCCAGTATCGGCTAGGCTAGGGAGGTCCGGTGTGTGTTGTGTGTGATCGCTATTGTTGGACCGTGGGATAATTTGGGGAGGATGGAGTGCCAGGAAATCCACTGGCAAGGGCACTTAGGAGTCAACCGGAGAAGCTCCAGTATCGGTTAGGCTAGGGAGGTCCTGTGTATGTTGTGTGTAATCGCTATTGTTTGGACCGTGGGATAATTTGGGGAGGATGGAGTGCCAGGAAATCCACTGGCAAGGGCACTTAGGAGTCAACCGGAGAAGCTCCAGTATCGGTTAGGCTAGGGAGGTCGTGTGTGTGTTGTGTGTAATCGCTATTGTTTGGACCGTGGGATAATTTGGGGAGGATGGAGTGCCAGGAAATCCACTGGCAAGGGCACTTAGGAGTCAACCGGAGAAGCTCCAGTATCGGTTAGGTCAGGGAGGTCCTGTGTGTATTGTGTGTAATCGCTATTGTTTGGACTGTGGGATAATTTGGGGAGGATGGAGTGCCAGGAAATCCACTGGCAAGGGCACTTAGGAGTCAACCGGAGAAGCTCCAGTATCGGTTAGGCTAGGGAGGTCCTGTGTATGTTGTGTGTAATCGCTATTGTTTGGACCGTGGGATAATTTGGGGAGGATGGAGTGCCAGGAAATCCACTGGCAAGGGCACTTAGGAGTCAACCGGAGAAGCTCCAGTATCGGCTAGGCTAGGGAGGTCCTGTGTGTGTTCTGTGCTCCCCGTATAATCCCTGTGTGCACTGTGTAAAATCAAACAGATAAAGAAAACTGATCGTTGTAAATTGCTCTGGCCAGACACCTTGGAAATGACCTCTTTCCCGACTGTGGGTTGGCATATGGCCTTTTATGCTCCATCCTCCGATCCCTGCCCTTCAGCACTATACTCACACTCGTATTTCAATATTTACAAGTCCCATTTATTTACATACTCCGACGCAACACCTTAAATTCCCTTACACGTCAAATTTAAAAGAAACATTCTGGGCCCAGGCCGCCCATCAACTGAGCCCCACAAGCCGCGCGGTGCGGTACACAGTCGCCCGTCCCTTTCCAGACTCCCCACGGTGTATAATCCCCTCCGTCCGCCTTAATCACCACGGGGCGCCGGACGAGGGTCCACGTCGGCACGCGTCTCGCGCCACGCGCACAGTTACATAGTTTACCGAAATCGAATTGTGAACTTAAGCTACCTAGACTGAAAGTCCCAAGAATAAATTTAACTACCTAAACTGAATGGCCTAAAACATTGCAGACGACACCTAAAAAGGGGAATATAATGTGGCTCACATAGCAGTAACGAGGGGGGGGGGTTACTTCAAGGATTTTAGGGACTAGGTGCGCACCCGTGTTCACCGCGTGACCTTACTTGAGATGGAGTCGCTGACATGATGGTCGTGTCCGTCCAGCACCCGGCCCGGCGGCCAGAGCCGCCGCCGGCGCCGTGATGCCAGCCGCTGGTGTCTCGTGGGCTGTCCGCGATGTCAGACGAGAGACGTGGGCCGAGAGTGCCACCGGCGCGGGATGCGTCGTCCGAGAGAGCGAGGACCAGAGCGCGTTCCAGTTCCGTTTCATCAACTTATACTTTTGATGACGTCATACTTCAGAGGGCCGGGCAGCATCTCCTTGTCCAATCTTCGTCCTCCATTCTCAGAAAGTGCGTTTGGCTCCGCCTTCAAACGTTCGTGATTTGCTGAAGTTCGGCACCCCCGGCCATGCAGTCGCACCCTTTCACGTGGCGATCGGGTGGAATTCGCCGCCGGCGCTCACGGCGCCTGAGGTGCCAGGTGGCGGGCCTGGCCCTCCGCTCCCCCTTGTTTTGAAGTCAGCTCCGGCCAGATGTCCTATATTTTGTCGTTGGCGACCGAGTTCCATTTCATCCTGTTTTCGTACAAACCGGGTCGGTCCCCGCTCCCCTTTCTTGTTTTGGTTCAAATCAGGGCCGGTCTGCACTCCCCTCTCCTTGTTCTCTGGCGGGGTGCCGAGCGTGGGACAGAGTCTTGTTTTCCAAAGGCTAAACTGATTAATGGCTCGAGGCTGGCAGAATGGCGCGTTTCGGTATGCTATTTGTTGGCTTCAGATCCGGGTTCTCATGAAGTGGGGTGGTCATCTATAGAGGACCCCTGTTTGTCAGAGCCTACTGCGCCGTCTGTGTGGACGGCAGCTGGGACGGAGAGAGGGTATCACAGCCGATTTAGCCGGCTGACCGTGTCTGTGCGGCGCTCGCAGATGGCCGTGTTTCAGCTTGTGGCACAGCTTGCAGTTCAGCATGAAAGATGAAAAAAAATGTAACGCATCTGCGTTACAGCTTCGCGGAAAAAACGAGCGTGTTGCCCGTAACGAGTTTTCACCCGTGCCGGAAAACAATGCAGGAAAGATCACGCGCAATGGTTCCTGCACGGTTAGGATAATGCTAAAAGGATATCTCGGCGTATAGGAAATATCTTACTGAACTTCCTCTGGAAAAAATGGAGACCTCAGTCTTCAAAATTATATCCACTATCCAGCACTCGGCTACGCCTCGTACCTACGATTCTTTTAAGTCCTCGGTTTCCATTTTTCTTTTCCAGAGCCGTGCAGTAAAATATAGTAGCCGTTTTCACGACGGCCATCTGGTACACATTTGGTGCACATCTGGTGCAGATTAGGTGCAGATTTGGTCAAATTAGGCTCAGTATGTCTCTTAGTAGCTATCAGCTAGGGTTGTATTATCGATCAAATTACACAAACCTTTTACAACACACATCCAATTGTGGTAGGAGACGGCTTCTTCTAGGATTGCTAGCCCAAACAGTTCGTGAGTTATACAGGGAAAACAGAGCGAGTGTGATCCCAATGGTGGTCGCAGTGTACGAAGTCTATGCTAGTGTCGCTAGTGCTTTGCATTCTCAGTCACTGTTCGTATGCAAATGCGCAGGTGTTGATATTATCCCTTCAGGCCGGGGTTCAGCGGCCGAGCTGTCCCGTCGACAGCGCTGGCATCTCGCCAGTGCATGGCAGACGGCAGTGCAGTGGAGGCTGCTACGGCGAATTGCTGCACAGGGCGGGAGCGCGCGAACCGGTTCTCTCTCTCTCTCTCTCTCTCTCTCTCTCTCTCTCTCTCTCTCTCTCTCTCTCTCTCTCTCTCTCTCTCTCTCTCTCTCTCTCTCTCTCTCTCTCTCTCTCTCTCTCTCTCTCTCTCTCTCTCTCTCTCTCTCTCTCTCTCTTACTCTCTCTCTCTCTCTTGCTCTCTCTCTCTCTTGCTCTCTCTCTCTTGCTCTCTCTCTTGCTCTCTCTTGCTCTCTCTCTTGCTCTCTCTCTCTCTCTCTCTCTCTCTCTCTCTCTCTCTCTCTCTCTCTCTCTCTCTCTCTCTCTCTCTCTCGGACCAGAATAGTCAGATGCTATATTTTCGGGAAGATGCAATGGATTCATTGGTTTCTTTGTCGACTAGATTTTAACACGCGCAGTGGAAGGGGGGGCGGATTTCGCCCACCCCTCCTGTTTTTCGCCAATAACTCGCGCCGCAAGCATAATATCAATGTGAAATTTCGGCTACCTGTCCAGAATTGAATTGCGGATCTTCTCGTGCAAGAAGCAAGAAAATCGGTTCACAACTTTTCTAGTAATAGCGGTGTAAAGTCAAATATCCTGCCGCCGCGGCGGCGCGGCGGCGCGGCGGCCGGCGCTAGCCGTTACGCGCCGCCTGAATTGTAGACTGTGCCGGGGCGGGACGGTTCCGTCTTTTCATCGCGCTCCTTACCGCTGATTACATCAGATTCGCGTCAAATTCGGTGAGAAGACTGAGAAATGTACAGGCAATCATATGGTCAAAGAATTTTGAAAATCGGCCGGTAACAACTTGAGTTATGAGTGTGTAAACACAAAATTGTGATTGCCGCGTTTCCCGCGTCGGCCGATGCCGCTTCAGCCGGCAACATCTTACCCTTAGCAGGCTTCTAACTGCCATATTTATTGTTGGATTATCTAGAAATTCACCATACATACTCACAAATGTTTGCTCTTTCGTATAGTGAAAGATTTAAAAAATCGGCCGGTAACTTTTTGAGTTATCGGCGTGTAAACGCAAAAAAGTCGCTAATATGGCAGATTTGACCACATTTGACCTCATTTGACCTTGAAGATATTGACCTAGGGTCATGAAATTCACACACAACAGAGTTCCCCATGGCCCCCACCTACCCTCCAAATTTCGTCTTTCTAGCTCCAGTGGGAGCTGAGATCTTAGGGGGGGGGCGACATCCGCCCCCCCCCCCCTTCCACTGGGCGTAGTACTCGCAACCCTTCCACTGCGCGTGTTAATGGCATTAAAAGTAAGGTGCACTGCATTTAAGCTGACTATGGTCGTGAACTCGTATACAGTGTACAGTTTATTGCAGGATGATATTCCACTACCCATGAGCAACCAGCCGTCTGGAATGTTAGGCTGTATTGCCTTTTATACCATTAATTGAGACTGGTGGGCGCGAGGTCACAGCAAAGCAATGCCACTAACTCTGTGTAATGCGGTACAGCCTACCATTCCAGGCAACTGAGTGCCTGGGTGAACTGGAGCATCATTCTGTTGTCAACTGTATGGATCTGATGTCCAATTATTGCCCTGTGCAATGAACATATACAGTATACATACATACAGCAGGTGCGTACAATGATGGAGCCTGGATGAAACAATTGCCGGGATTATTGCGCATTCAAGCTTGCAACGGCAGAAAGCCGAGGAGCGGCGTTGAATAGGTACTTCGTTTTTGTTTGGGGTATGTTTAACTGCAAGACAATTTTTTAATTAAAAGATATGTATGTAGGCGACCCTTAGCCGGCCCTCTAAATGCTGAGTTAAGGTCTCATTTTGTTTGTGTGCATGTGATGGATCTACTTCCAGAGCGTAGTAATACCTATTGCGTTCGCGACATATACGAAGAAATATGCACACGTTTTATCCCAAACAGCACGGCGAACGGATTTTTATCTCAATCGGCCCAATCGATCTTGAAATATAGAAATGACCATTGCACGTGGAAAGTGAAACCCAACTGACTTCTAATGGCCTCCAATAATCTAACCGGTGCCTCTTCTGATTGGCAGAATTTCCAATGGCCGACGTCATGGCATGGTTCCCAGCGCCCTCCGGGTCCCCGTCGACACCGTCGTTGTCCGTCTGTCGGCGCGTGTACCGTCTGGGCTCGGTCCGGTACCGCGAGGAGGCGGCGCCACCGACCGGCGACACCTGCCTGCCGCCGCCGCTCACCGGGCCGCTGCTGCGCCGCTGTGTGGAGCGGCGCGCGCGGCGCCGCCGCAGGCCCACCTCCATCCTGCTGCTGGGCGACTCGCGTCTGCGGAACCTCTACCACCACCTGGCCCAGGAGCTGGACGTGCCGGCACCGGCCGTCAACATCACTCCGTACCCGTTCTGGTCCCGTAACATCCACTGGACCAACTCTCCGGAGCGCTGGTGTCGGGTGTGCCCGTGGCACTGCTGTCCGCGCGCGGCCGCCGCCGCCGGTGTGTCTCTGCGGTTCGAGTGGCGGCCGTTCTGGACGGATGCCACGGTGACGGAGCTGGAGGCGGCCGCTGAGAGCTGTGAGAGCGGTCACAGCGACTGTCCAGACCTGGTGCTGGTGAACGGGGCGCTCTGGTACAGCACTGTGATGACCCAGTGGAAGGGTCAGATTACCAACATGGTGCTCCTACTGCGACTGCAGATGGCGCGCGTCGTCCGGGCGCTGGCCAGGATAGCGACAATCACACGCACGGTCCTCAAACTGGACGAAGGCTTCACGCGTGACGTGCATTTTCTACTGCACAAGTCCAATCTGGCAGAAATTCCCGTCATGCATAGCGTGGCGTACGATGCAGCGAGAAAGGTAAGGGAGTTCGCGTATTTTATTCGGGATAAGCAATCCGTTCCATTCTTGTAGGTTAAGGACACCGACCGGGATGAACTAGACTGCCGTGGCTTAGTTATTTGAGAAACAGTGATTTGGTAATGGGAGTAGTTAAGCATAATTGCCGGACGGCAGTGGAAGCCCTGCTGAAGCCCCTTTAACGTATGATTCTGCTTCGGACGTGCTTCCGAGGGGGTTGTGATCGCGGCAGGGTGGATTAGATGAACGTGATGGACCGTGCATACCCAACCTCATCTGCCCTCATAACCAACTCCCTGCATGCATCTTGTTTGTGCTGCAGATTCCTGGTGTAGTCATATGGTCGTCCGCACTCCCGGAGTCTACAGGGCTCCTCAGAAAGAAGTGCTACGGCATGCAAGGCCGTAAAAGTCCGACGAGTTCAGCATATCCTGACTTCTCGACTACAAGTGGCCAACCAAAGAACTTAGTGATGAAAAACGAAACATTTATTTACGAGTGTGGAAGTGAGCCGGTTCATGCCGGCAAAGCTACCATGTCAAAGGCTGTTCAATTACTGTTTGGTGATATGTGTGCTGGTTATTTGAAGAGTTCAGAACTCCAAACTAACATGTCATCTTCTACACCGGTTTGTTGTTATGACAATAAAAATGGATAAATTACCATTCATTTATAAGTGAGCTGTCACATTGCATCTTAACCTGATCATATTGCGAGGCCTTTTGTTTTATAAGCTCTACCACTAATTGATAGCTCTCTTCCTGTTTGGTAAATTTGGTAAACGATATGGAAACGAGTTTTCGATATCGAAGACTCAATACATAGACGTGCAGCAGCTGCTCGCAAATGTCTCTCCAACTATACCGCAGTGAAGAGAACGAATTGATGGAAATACATGACTTTCAGCATACCCGTATTATCGTGTGAATGTGCTCAAATCTTTAATAAACACGACTTTCCCGAGGGTAAATGTATTTTTTAAACATGCAGTCATGCGATTTTGCGTATGTGTCAGAGGAGCTCAAAATGTTATTTTACATCTAATCGTTGAAATTGATAGCGACAAGCGCATTTTCAGTGTTAAACGTTGTGATCTTCTAACCAGTTAACAATAAGTTCATAGTTTTTGTCCATCCAAGCCACACTTGAGGTAGAGTGCTCCAAAACTTGTTCCATTTCTCGCTTGCCCTCACCCAAACTGTCTTTGTATTCGTTGGCGAACAGTTGCAGCTGCAAAAGAAAACACGATAGTTACTGTGGTGATAAATATATATTCCTACATGCCGGGGTATGTCTTAAGCACAGCACGAGCCGGGCAGTAAAACTAAGCGCTTGTCGAACAGCACTGCGGATCCGAAGGTTGGGACTTGAATTGTGAAAAACCGCCCGCCCGCCGCCAAACGCAAACACCGCAAAACGCGCAAAACGGACGCCAAAACGCCAACGCAAATGCCGCAAAAAAATCGCCCGCGAAAACCGCAAAAAAAACTCAAAAAACGCAGCAAAAAAATCAAAACCGCCCGCATCGCACGCACCCCAAACGCCAAAAAACGCCCGTCCGCCGCAAAACGCGAAAACCGCAAAAAAACGCAAACACCGCCGCCGCAAAAAAAACCGCATCGCCCGCCGCCAACCGCGAAACGCCGCAAAAAACGACCGCCCGCCGCAAACCGCAACACCGCAAATAACGGCCGGCCGCCGGCGACCGCAAAACGCTGCAGAAAGCCGCCCGCCGCAAACCGCAAAACGCCGCAAAAGAAACGGCCAACCGCCACACACCGCCGCAAAAACGGCCGCCCGCCGCCAAACGCAAACACCGCAAAAACACCCGCATCGCCCGCCCGCCCGCCGCCAAACACAAAAACCGCAAAAAACGCAAACACCGCCGCAAAAAAACGCCCGCAACGCCCGCCGCCAACCGCAAAACGCCGCAAAAAAACGGCCGCCCGCCGCCAAACGCAAACACCGCAAAAAAAAAACGCAAAAAACGGCCGCCCACCGCCTAACACCGGAAAAACGCAAACACCGCCACAAAAAAACGACCGCCGTCCGTTAAACGCAAACACTGACGCCATTGACCTCTATTGACCTCTATTAGGTATTATAGAGGTCAATGACTGACGCATTAAGACAAATATGGCGCTCTGCGGCAAATGTGGTGCATTCATATCTGCCGTTTAAGCAGCCATCCCTTAATTACAGCGCATCCTAATCGTCCAATGTTCGACAAAGATACGCACATTCTGCGATTTGCGGCAAAAATGGCGCTTTGAGACAAACGTGGCGCACTGAGTCAAACGTGGCGCATTTGTTCCTGTCGCTTAACATTTCATCCACCCACCAAATTCTAGCCTAATCGGACTTAAACTGACAATGTTATGCACATTTGAATATTTCACTGTAAGATATCTCCGCAAAGGAGGTGCCCAAATTTGCACGTGTGCCATGTGACCGCCGGTGGTGTAAGCAGGACTTGTCCCCTCACTGATTGCACCATTTCAGTGTTCCTGGCTTGTGCTGTTTTCGTGCTATAAGGCCACAAATCGGCAAACACACGATAATCTGGGAGGTACGCGACTCAAACACGTGGCCACGTGGCACGTGCCGGACCTCTGATAGCTTCACCGCTCACGCCACGTGATGACCCATCGACGTGGCCATCAGCATGTAAAAGATGACCCCGGCCGGTGTCACCGTCTCTGAACAGTGGACGGCTAAACTCGAAAAACGGGAAAATTTAGGGAAATTTCACCTTTGAATATATAATTTCCCCAGAATTTTGAATTTTTCATTTTACAAAAAATCCGAGATAGCAGTTTTTTAGCCCCCTTCATTCTGTGCCTATACCCGTTTTCAGATCGACCCTATCATAAAACCTGACGGCCTGACGGCTATTTCCCCCATTCCTTGCATTTCACAATGCTAGTATATTTAAGCACCAAAATTGACCCCGTGCCACGGCACGTGCAATAGCACGTGGGCCACGTGACCACTAGTGCGACAAGCTGGACTCATCTGCTCACCGGCTGCACTGATTTGGTGTCGCTAGGTGGAGTGGTTTCCACGCCATAGGACCCCCAGTTGGCCAATGTCGCATTTACCACGAGGTTACCCCATCAAACACGTTTGCACGTGGCACGTGCTTTTCAATCGCCCCATATCTGACCCATACCACGTGGTAGCCGACACCCCGGGACACAACATATTCGAACATTTTCAAAATCTAACGTGGAAATTTTTGGCAAAATCGATTTGAAAATAATTTTTCGAAAATGCCATAGGCTCAACATGGGGTAACTGTCGGCGTCGATTACCCGAAATTTTGTCATTTATATTTTAAATAATTACCCCCAGAAGGTGAGGTGCCAGCCAAAGAACTGACCCTAAAAATGTGGACAAATATTACTGAACAGATTTTGCGCAAATCGCATTTTCAATTTTTCCCCATGTTAACCCTATGGGAAAATGCACGTGCCGATTACCCCAAAACGGGTTAATTATATTTCAAGCAACCGGTACCAGCCGGTAGCTCCCCCATAGGGGACCAAACGCTGAAAATGGCAAGAAAATCTAACGAGCCGTTTTCGAGGGTATCAAGATGTCCTAAATCGCGGCAGAAACGCTAAACACCCCCCTAGAGAGGTAGCTCAGGTTGGGATTTTCAATAGAAAATCACAATTCTAAAGAATAGTGATTGTCTAATTGAAAAGTCCCAACCTTCGGATAGGCCCGGGCAGCGCTTGTCGAACAGCACTGCGGATCCGAAGGTTGGGACTTGAATTGTGAAAAACCGCCCGCCCGCCGCCAAACGCAAACACCGCAAAACGCGCAAAACGGACGCCAAAACGCCAACGCAAATGCCGCAAAAAAATCGCCCGCGAAAACCGCAAAAAAAAACTCAAAAAACGCAGCAAAAAAATCAAAACCGCCCGCATCGCACGCACCCCAAACGCCAAAAAACGCCCGTCCGCCGCAAAACGCGAAAACCGCAAAAAAACGCAAACCCCGCCGCCGCAAAAAAAAACCGCATCGCCCGCCGCCAACCGCGAAACGCCGCAAAAAAACGACCGCCCGCCGCAAACCGCAACACCGCAAATAACGGCCGGCCGCCGGCGACCGCAAAACGCTGCAGAAAGCCGCCCGCCGCAAACCGCAAAACGCCGCAAAAGAAACGGCCAACCGCCACACACCGCCGCAAAAACGGCCGCCCGCCGCCAAACGCAAACACCGCAAAAACACCCGCATCGCCCGCCCGCCCGCCGCCAAACACAAAAACCGCAAAAAACGCAAACACCGCCGCAAAAAAACGCCCGCAACGCCCGCCGCCAACCGCAAAACGCCGCAAAAAAACGGCCGCCCGCCGCCAAACGCAAACACCGCAAAAAAAAAACGCAAAAAACGGCCGCCCACCGCCTAACACCGGAAAAACGCAAACACCGCCACAAAAAAACGACCGCCGTCCGTTAAACGCAAACACTGACGCCATTGACCTCTATTGACCTCTATTAGGTATTATAGAGGTCAATGACTGACGCATTAAGACAAATATGGCGCTCTGCGGCAAATGTGGTGCATTCATATCTGCCGTTTAAGCAGCCATCCCTTAATTACAGCGCATCCTAATCGTCCAATGTTCGACAAAGATACGCACATTCTGCGATTTGCGGCAAAAATGGCGCTTTGAGACAAACGTGGCGCACTGAGTCAAACGTGGCGCATTTGTTCCTGTCGCTTAACATTTCATCCACCCACCAAATTCTAGCCTAATCGGACTTAAACTGACAATGTTATGCACATTTGAATATTTCACTGTAAGATATCTCCGCAAAGGAGGTGCCCAAATTTGCACGTGTGCCATGTGACCGCCGGTGGTGTAAGCAGGACTTGTCCCCTCACTGATTGCACCATTTCAGTGTTCCTGGCTTGTGCTGTTTTCGTGCTATAAGGCCACAAATCGGCAAACACACGATAATCTGGGAGGTACGCGACTCAAACACGTGGCCACGTGGCACGTGCCGGACCTCTGATAGCTTCACCGCTCACGCCACGTGATGACCCATCGACGTGGCCATCAGCATGTAAAAGATGACCCCGGCCGGTGTCACCGTCTCTGAACAGTGGACGGCTAAACTCGAAAAACGGGAAAATTTAGGGAAATTTCACCTTTGAATATATAATTTCCCCAGAATTTTGAATTTTTCATTTTACAAAAAATCCGAGATAGCAGTTTTTTAGCCCCCTTCATTCTGTGCCTATACCCGTTTTCAGATCGACCCTATCATAAAACCTGACGGCCTGACGGCTATTTCCCCCATTCCTTGCATTTCACAATGCTAGTATATTTAAGCACCAAAATTGACCCCGTGCCACGGCACGTGCAATAGCACGTGGGCCACGTGACCACTAGTGCGACAAGCTGGACTCATCTGCTCACCGGCTGCACTGATTTGGTGTCGCTAGGTGGAGTGGTTTCCACGCCATAGGACCCCCAGTTGGCCAATGTCGCATTTACCACGAGGTTACCCCATCAAACACGTTTGCACGTGGCACGTGCTTTTCAATCGCCCCATATCTGACCCATACCACGTGGTAGCCGACACCCCGGGACACAACATATTCGAACATTTTCAAAATCTAACGTGGAAATTTTTGGCAAAATCGATTTGAAAATAATTTTTCGAAAATGCCATAGGCTCAACATGGGGTAACTGTCGGCGTCGATTACCCGAAATTTTGTCATTTATATTTTAAATAATTACCCCCAGAAGGTGAGGTGCCAGCCAAAGAACTGACCCTAAAAATGTGGACAAATATTACTGAACAGATTTTGCGCAAATCGCATTTTCAATTTTTCCCCATGTTAACCCTATGGGAAAATGCACGTGCCGATTACCCCAAAACGGGTTAATTATATTTCAAGCAACCGGTACCAGCCGGTAGCTCCCCCATAGGGGACCAAACGCTGAAAATGGCAAGAAAATCTAACGAGCCGTTTTCGAGGGTATCAAGATGTCCTAAATCGCGGCAGAAACGCTAAACACCCCCCTAGAGAGGTAGCTCAGGTTGGGATTTTCAATAGAAAATCACAATTCTAAAGAATAGTGATTGTCTAATTGAAAAGTCCCAACCTTCGGATAGGCCCGGGCAGCGCTTGTCGAACAGCACTGCGGATCCGAAGGTTGGGACTTTAATTGTGAAAAACCGCCCGCCCGCCGCAAAACGCAAACACC